CTGCCAGTGGGTTTCCGCTTCCACCCACTTTCAGCCGTTATACTCGCCGACATTCGGTTCCTCTTCTGTTACACTTCAAATAGCAGCAACCTCTTCCCCATATTCGGACGTCCTGTGTGGCGCACAGCAACCATTTATGAATCGATTGGACTGCTGCTGCCAGAGGTCGGGGTTTGCATCTGATATCTGTAATGCTATTTTATTCAAATGTCTGCGTCCGTGTATGAATTGAGGGGCAATGCTGATCGGTTAATTTCGCACATACCTTTGGATTCTCCTGCGTTTCTGTCTAACTGGGTGACAATTTTGCGGACGCGGGTCCAAACCTCGAATCATTTGTGGGTGACAATTTTTCTTGGTATGTCGCAAAAGTCTGCTTCAGTATATCGCGCGCCTCAGAGTCGAGATGTCGCTCCACTGGATAATTAAACACAAACCCCCCGAGATTGACAATTGCCCGCAAAAGTTCGTCCCGGTTGCTGAGATCGGCAGCGTTGAACACTGTCTTTACTGCGGTTGCGAAGCGGCGCTGACAGTTTGGATGAATTGCTGGCTGGAGGATCAGTGACAATCCTCCAATGTGCTGGATTGTTTCAACTGCCTTGAATGGTAACCGGCTAGATGCGCAGCATTCCATGAACTCGATCAAGATGTGTATTCTCGCTTCAGCAGCGATGTGGTGCATTTTCTCCCAGGGTTCAGAGCCCTCAAAAAATGTGCTGTCACTGTCGTCGTCCCGCACCGAGATCTCCCAGAGGTCGTGGCCCTCATTTATGTTCCCGTGGTCGCCGTCCAGCAAAGATGTCTCCGCGCATAGGAGGGGATCTGTCAATTGGGCAATGAGATGGTGAAACACACGGTAGGGGCTCCGTGTAGCTCGCGCTTTTTGTTCTACCATGCACACAAAGGCGTGTTTTGCCAGCGCAAGTACAGATGGGGAGATAGAAGGGGAATTGACTCGACAGAGTGCGTCAATGATCTGCACTAGCCATTCTTCTGGTACTTTGACCCGATCCCTGGTGTAGTAGAAAAGCATCCACACCGCCGTGAGTGGTTCAGGCATCATTTCCGGTGCATGACGTTCACTGAGCAAGTACCCGGAAGGCCCGCTGGTAATTGTCACTGGTATGGATTTCCATCCTCCCGGTGGGAACGCGTATGCTACTCCAATCTTGGCCAGCTCATATTTGCGATCGTTTAGATATTGAATGACCGACCATGGGAGAGCCGGAGGTAACTCATCGTCCAGCGGGTTCCAGTATGAGAGTATGCTCTCGAATACATCGTCAAGCCAATGATGATTTTCGTTGGGGAGCAAATCGTGCCGGTGTGGGGCTGCGATGGCATTCACGGCCGTCCGAAGTAAAACAAGTAAGTGGTGCGGGAGGGGGCCTTTTTGGGGAGCGAGGATGCTGTGAGTTGTGGTAAACTCATACGGGATCGAGATGCAGAAGCGTGCTCGGGTTAAATAGTCCAGTAATAATTCAAGGGGCGTAGTGAGGGATAGGGCCCGTATCTGCTCGATAAATTGGCCTATGATTGATATCAAGGATTCGCGGGGCAGAGTCTCCCATTCCGACTCTCGCCGGACCTGGAAAAACTCCAACAGGTAATTTGACTCCATCATGCGCAAGTGAGAACGCAGCATAGTGATGTTCGGTGTCCGATTGGCCACCAGATCCGCACGACAGATATTGAGATGTTTCAACGTCTCGTCCATTAACCGTCGGGAGGCCCGTAGACCTGCCCACCGCTGCAGGGCATCGGCTGAAACAGCATACGGCAGGACTTCGGAATCAACGTCTCGGTAATCCATTGCTCCGACTTCGTAGGGAAGCAATGAATGCGAAGATTCATCCGTGCTTGATAAAGTTGCAAGGGCCCAGATCGCCTTGTAGCCCAGTATCTGGCGGCGCCGCATATGAGCAAGGGGGAGAAGGCCGTTGTTGCAATGGGTGATCAAATTATGTATCCGGAAAAGTAATTGGACGTCGGGATCCTTCATGAGCCGACGTAGAGGGGCATCATATGCATAGCGCCTGCCAGCTGGCCCCCACAACACATCTGGAATGGCCTCGACAAATGGCTCAAGCTCCGTGTCATCGGTCAGTGATTTCACTGTCCATAGAAGGGCATTGGTGTCCCGCTCGGTGCGTTCTAGCGAGTATTGTGTGGCCTCGAGGAACACAGATTCCACCATTGTTCGTGGAGGCTTGGAGATGAGGCGTAGATAATGAGATCTTGTCCGTAGTCTCTGGAAAAGGTACCACAATGCTGCAGAGAGCGGTGTTTTATAGGGGCAGTCAACATGGACCAGAGGAAGGATGGTGAGCACCGAGTACACGATGGCCAGAATGGTGAGCATTGTGCCTGCGATCACCGTGAGGATGATATTCACGGGCATGAGAAAAGCGAGAAGGCCAGCGAAGAAGAATCCGAGGGAGCCATGCAGGAGGAGAGGTATAATCTCGACCACCATGTGCATCTTGAATCGCTCGAGGCCGTAATACAGGAACGAGAATACGCGTGCACGGATGATGGGGGCAGATCGCATGCCGGCTTTGTGTAGAAAATCGCGGGCCCATTGTTCGAGGAGTATTGCAATGAGTGCACACGTCAGACTGAGCCCGAGACTTATAAACCACAGGACGTTACAGATGAGGGCACTTGTCGGCGGGGTAAAAGTGGGAGGCGGGGGAATCGCAAATACAGTTCCGTTAGCTGAGGCGGCGAGCTGCTGGATATCTGGGAGAGTAGGAACGCTGAAGTATCCCCAGAGCTTGGGATAAGTGTCTTGTAGCTTTCAATCAAGAAGGCGGTTAGACTCGCGGAGAAGAGACCGGCCTAGGAATAGGGAGGTCATCGGAAGGATTGTCGTAGAGGAGAGGAACACCGAACAAATATTAGTATGCCTTCATATCGCTCCTCCAGCTCTCCACCAAACTCTTGTCATATTTTTCTGCTTCCGACACGTATACCGCCCAAAGCTTAGCAGCAGCGGAGTCGTCGGCAGGTTCGCCTGTCAGTACATCAGATGCGGCAAAGCAAGAAGCACACCTCGCCGACGCACCTCTATCTTGGCCTAGCGCACTTTGTTTCTCTGCGTCCGTCATGCTACGAAGCGACAGATGACACTGTATTTGATCTATGATGGGTTGATGATGGGAATCCGGAGACGTCAACTCGAGTTGCCTAATCTGGACTTGCAATGGTGCCTAATCATCCAGGACCCCGGAATATACCTTTGGAGACTAGCCCATATGACCAGAATTGCCCAATTTTTGTCCGGACAGATTTCCTTCCAAAAAGGGGTAATTTTCCATTCCCACGAGCTAAAAATTATCAAAATTTCTCTAGTCCATTTACGCCGTTTTATACCGAAATAAAGGATTTGGACGTTATTTTGCAGAGGACAGCTACTTCTGGTCGGATTTTCCCAATCGCCCATCCAAACCTCGACGAGACCCCGAGTTTTTTGTCTGGACAGGATCTAGGTTGTCTGGCTTTGAGCTCCCATTTTTGTCCGGTCAGGACCTAGCTTTCCGAGGTGAAAAGTCCAAATTTTGTCCGGCACCGGGGCTAGGGTCCAAAAGGATATTCCGAGGTCCTAATCATCCCCAGCGTTCCGAGGCTATGTTCCTGTAAGTAATTGTTTGCCATTTGGCCTAATAACCCCCAAGAAAACGTATTCAACCGTGACGCAACGGAAATTTTCAACTTTTGAGTGCGTTCTCCATAGTTCTTCCCACTATTTCTGAGTTGAACTTATGTAAGAGACTTTACACTGGAACTAACGTAAATAATCGGTCGTAGTGCCGGAACTGGGGATTCGACCCCCCGCGTCCGAATAGAGAAAGAATGTGGGTATATCCTCATCACATTTCTTTGACAATCTTTCATTCTGACTATATCCACTTCCACCAATTTACACATCTCAACGCACCGGACGTGCCATCTTATTTCTATCCTCGTTCGTTGCATACACCTAGGAGGTTCGGGGTTTGACTCCTCCCACGTTCTGAACTACGAATGCTTTTGCTTTTTTTGCAGATCTGTTGAATCTGGATTTCCGAGTTCGAAGTTATTACGAGCCATTCCTTTCCTCTGGATTCAACCACCCACCATGGATCATCCCTTTCCGCCCAATCCCGCACAATTGTCACCTTCCCTCAAGCAGTGCGAGCGGATGTGTGCCGTACACCACGTCTGAGATACTCTCTAATTTTGGTAGCGGGCTACGCAAGCGAGTTTTAGCCTGAATCAGATAAATAATGATCTGCATGAATACTCGAAGAGAGGAGTTCGGGTCTCTGTCAGATAAATCAGCGTCCATGTGAATGACCTCGAAGGAAAAGAACACCGTTGTAGAAATCTCTGAGAAGAAGAAAAAATTACTATGTCAGCCTCTATTCGGACGCCGGGAGTCGAACTCGAGCTTTCCGCATCACAAGATCATGCAGAAATGCAAGCGGGTGTACCATGTACCACGTCCGAGGTTCTTTCCGACTTTTGAAGAAAGCTACGGAGGTGAGCTTCTGCAGGGATTCAGCGAAAACAATGATGTGCATGAATTACTGGAAGAGAGCAGTTGCGAGGGTCCCTGTCAAAATATTAGCGTCTGAGGACGAAATGAAGGAAATGAATTACTGTTGTAGGAACCTCTGAGAAGAAGAAAAAAGTACAAATGTAGCCAATCTATCCGGACGCCAGAAATTGAACCCGGGATTCCCGTATTGAAGCTCTTTCACAAATACAGAAACTGCGAGCGGGTGTGCGCATGCACCACGTCCGAGGTACTCTTCAACCTTGGTGCCAAAATACGCAGGTGAGTTTCTAGGCGTGATTCAATGAAAAACAGTGACGTGCACGAATACTCGAAGAGAGGAGTTGCATGGGTTCCTGTCAAACACGCAAGGATCAGCGATCACGCTCACGACTTGAAGGAAATGAACCAGAAAAAGAAAAAAGAAAAAAGAAAAACCCACGTTGAGGTCAACTAATTCGGACGCCGGGAGTCGAACCCGGGTCTCCCGCACAAATCAATCACCCAAAAATCGTTAATACGAGCGGTTGTGCACCATACACCACATCCGACTTGCTCTCCGACTCATGTGGCAAGCTATGTAGGCGAGTGTCTGGACGAGATTCAGCGACAACAATGATGTGCATGGATACTCGAAGAGAGGGTCCATGTCATAATCCATGCTCACGACTTGAATGAAAGAAACCTCTGAGAAACAACCCAGAAAAAGAGAAGAAAAAAAAGAACCTTCTACCGACTCATTCAGACGCCGGGAATCGAACCCAGTTTTCCCGCACAATCAACCACGAACCGAACTGTGTTAATGCGAGCGAGTGTGTGCCATACACCACGTCCGAGATATTCTTCGACCTTGGCGGGAGGCTGCGAACGCGAATTTTAGGGCGTGATTCAGCGAAAAACAATGATGTGCATGAATACTCAAAAGAGAGAGGAGTTGCGAAGGTCCCTGTCAGATAAATCAGTATTCATGTGAGCGAACTCGAAGGAAATGGAGTAAAGATTGTAATTCGTAGATGACTTGAAGAGAGAAAACCAGGAGAAACTGGATACATTCCAATAATTTTGCTATTACATTAGCACACTAGTACTGGCAACCACTGCAAAAAAACTTTTCAACAGCATCACATTCGGACGCCGGGAGTCGAACCCGGTCTTCCCGCATTTATTGCAGTTATTAAGGCATGCGCAAATAATAGCGAGGGTGCACCGTGCATCACGTCCGAGCTATGGTGTAAGTTGGGTAGCTTCATACGCGAACAAGATTCAGGCCGAAAGAGGCGGATGAGAAATAATACAAGATCAAGAAAAGGAATGCTCCACCGGTAGCCAATACTCGAGGGTGAGCGGCGATGATCCTGCTGACGAGAGGTTCACGTGTAGCACCCAGGGAGAGATAAAAGCTGCGCCAGGCTCTTGAGCTTGAGGACATGATGGTTCGGGACAAGGGTTTGTTTGATCCCATCGCGGTGTTAGTTGCGCCTGTTTACCTGCAGCTTCCCGAGCGTCCTCACCGCGTCATGTCTACTCCACTGCCTAGTCGTGCGTATAAAAGCCTGCGTTCCTCGTCAACATGGGCTGAACCTACTTCTTGCTTTGGTTCGAAACCTCATCACCTATCCAACTGTAATTTTACACGAAAGACTTGGACTTCTCCAAAGCTTCATCGTCTTGTTCTCGTCTCAATCTATTGCTTTCTACCCTGGAAATAACCGGAAATAACCCGTGTATATCCTGGAAATCATCTAGATGACGACAATCCATCCCTCCCCACCCAACTTGGTCCCTACCATCTCCTCTGGCGCACTCCCGCAGACACCAGCAAGCAAGTGGGCCGAGAACATGAAGGACGTCCTCGCTGGGCACGTCACACGCACCCCCGTCGGCACCCCCGGCCCTGATGTCCCCGGTGGCTTCCCTGCGTATCTGGAGCCAGATTTGGAGCGCACTAGTGGCAGCGTAGACCCAGCGCCACAGGATACCTTGCTTGCGACTGCGCAGTCGTACATGCCCTCGCTCGCGACTGCGAAGGCGTACCTCCCGCAAGCTGTCGCCGCGTATCTACGTGCGTCTCTTTCTCTCTTCTCATACTGTATGCGATTTATACTCACGCAGTTTCTTTTATTAGCGGAATTCACCCCAGCACCCTCTGGATCCGAATCCTCGCTTCCCCCGCTGCCCCCCTCCTCGGCGTCGTTCTCGTCGACCTCGGGCCTCCCACAAGACGACACCACCAACGCCCGACACGAGTCGTATCGCACCACGTCCTCCGCAGGCGACACCTTCAGCACCACAGCGCACACGGGGCACTCTTCCTCTGCGATCGCGCCTCTCTCTCCCTGTCCCTCGGTCTCATCCTCTTCCGATGCACCTCTTTCCCCTACAACGGCGAGACCCCGCGCGACCTCGGGCCTCCTCCCCTCGCACCCCGGCGTCGCGCGCGAGTCCCCGTCCCCTTTCCCATCCGCTTTCCCTTCGACAACGTCTGCGTCGACCCTTGATGTCGACGCCGCTGCAGACGCAGATGTGGACCTGAACACCCCGCAACTCGTACAGTCTCCCATCCCGCTCGCACCCGGGGAGAGCATGGACCTCGCGCTCGCGGCGGAGTCATCCAGCTCCGCGCCATCTAGTGCTATTGCGAGTGCGGATGCGAGTGCGAGTGCGAGTACGCATACGACTCCAGAACACCCCCGCCCGACCTCAGGTCTCCTCCCCTCACACCCCGGCGTCGGCGTCGCGTTTGAGCCCACTACCAACGTGAACGCAGTCCCCACCGCCTCACTTGACGGTGTACACCCGACGCCGCACGCCGTCCCCGCCTCGTCGATGTCGACATCGATCGCGAGCACGCCCTCCCTCGTCCCACCCTCGCTCAGGGCGGGGAGAGCGGGTATGCCGCGTCAGAGGAGGAGGAGAGCGTGCGGACACCTGGGCCAGCGTACACACCCACCCCCGGAGGAGAGGGTGAGGGAGTGGGAGAGGGATTCGCGGGCGTGGGCACGCACGGTGGTGGTGGTGGTGGTATACAAGGACAGGGCTCCGCTGCCTTGAATTCCTCCCGTCTCCAAGACAACGTGCCGACGGGCGATAAACTGGTTCCGCCAAAAAGGAGCGCTGGCGCGGCGCCGACGGGGGACTTCACACCGCACATCGAAGGGCAAGGGAGCGCCGCGCTTAATTCGGGGAGGGTGGAGGATAACCTAATACCCACGGGCTATGTACTGGTTTCGCCCGCGGGCGATATGCTGATTCCGCCACAAAGGAGCGCTGGCACGGCGCCGATCACCTCTCTATCCCAAGTAACGCCTCAAGTAAGTGGCGTAAGATCAGTGGTGCTCCCCCTCTAAGATGAGGGCTTACCGCGTTAAAGTGTCTTCAGCTTAAACACACTGTTTTAGCGAGAAATAAAGCGCTGATATCACTGCGTCAGTGATATCAGCAACGGTTGAGATCTGATGGTTCGGGCGGATGCGATCAAAGATGGCGCGCAGGCATCGCGCCATCAAAGCCATCAAGACCGCCGCCAGCGCCGCCGCACAAGTGCGCGCCGCCCTCAGAAATGGCCCAATAAATACCAAAAAATTGGGGTAGCATTGTATTATCAATAGGAGCTTTAATACACGAGGATATTGATATAGAATGATTTATAAGTGCTTAAACAGTAAGGATGTAAGAAAATGGTACAAGTCTCTAATAATGTCCGTCGCGTAAGGAGTTCTAATTGCTTAGAATGGCCGGCGCGTCACCCGAGACGCGCATTATGTTCTCATATGCGGCCGCCAAGGCCTCGACATCCGCGTCGGCACCCTCTTCATCGTCCTCGGGGTCGTCTGGGGGTGGGGCGTAGCTGTAGGTGGTGCAGGGGGCATGGCCACGTCGGCATCTTCGAGCGTTGCGAGTTGGTGGCGTTCCCGGTCAATGCTGATGCCGGGGAAGAGCGCTGCCGTGAACCCCGGCTCCCTGCTGAGCTTCACCAGCCGTTCTGTGTGGACGGCATCGAAACAGCCCGCTCCAGGCGCCGCAGTCCGACTTGGTGCGCCAACGCCGCCTCCCCTGCCGCCCGTAGCCGATCTTCTTGTCGCGTAAGGAACTGCTCTTCATCCCTCATATACGTCACGAGCCGGGGGATCTCAAGATTGAGCCGCGCAATTTCTTCGTCTGCCCGGAGCAGCTTGAAATGCTGGTCCATGGCAGCACGGCCCGCCGGCTGCGCCCACGGCTCGCCCCGGATATCCTCCCGTCCTTCACGCAAGAGATCGAAGTCGGCGAGGAACGCGTAGTCGACGATTTCCTCCCAAGTAAGCTCACACCGAGGAGGCGTGAGGGCAGCGGCGGCCTTATTGAAGGTATCGAGCGCGGTCTTGATCGCCTTGGAGCGCACCTGCAGTGCCTTTGCGATGTGTTTCCGCAGTTTGTAACCTTTATCAACCCGTTAGTACCATATTCATAAACTGCACAGAGGAACGTACCTGTGTCTGACATGTTAACTTTTGTCAGCTCAAACATGCGGGCGACGACGAGCCCTTCCAAGGCGTCGAGCGCGCGTTGGTAGCGGCGATTGCGCAGCATCTCAGCCGTCGCAATCCACTCCTCGTCACCCGGGACCCAGCGGCGTTCAACAGAAAGACGCAACTCCAAGTCCTGCACGGCATCCAGAGCCTTCGAGTAGAGCTCCAAGGCATGCCGCCGCTGTGTCTCGATCCTTCGGGTCTGCGCTGCTGCCGCCGCATACGTGGAGGTGGCCTCCGCTGGCACGAACATCGCCGCTACGTTGCGGGTGGCGTTGAGTCGCTCCCTTGAACAGCGTCAGTGTCGACGTGCACTCTAAAATGAGATGACTTACTCGTAATCCTGCAGACTTACCAACTTTTGGTAGTACTCCATCTGGAGCGTCTCCTCCTCGGGTTCCTTTGTCAAGGACTCAAGATACTCCTTCTCCTTCTCCAGCCAGGTCTCGAAGACGGACCGGCTCTCCACGCCCAGCGCCGCCATGGTTTCACGCAGCTGTCCCTCGGTCCGAAGGATCTGAAGCGCACGGCGATATTTGTTGGCGATGAGAATCGTCAAGCCTTGATATGCGTTTGCCGTGTCGGAGTGCGCAAGGTACGTCGTAATAGCTTGCTGCCTGTGGAAGGCTGACGCATACCGGGTTGTCGACGTCAAGGCATTGGACTTGGAGAAGAACGACTCGCATTCCTCCAAGTCCTCCAGCCCCATGCCCTTCACGTACATCGCCAGGAATTTGAGCTGGCAACGACGGCAGTGCGCATGGCCGTGGAAGGAGCCGACCAAGGCCCTGAAATTGTTGTCGGCAGCGAGGGAGGACAATGCCGGGTGCATTCGCACCATCTTCCCGTACCTGCACCCGATGTCATAGCCCTCGGCGTGCTCGCCCAGGACTCGCAACAGGTGCGCCGTGATTGCGAAGGGATATTTAGCCCTGTAGTCGCGTCAGTTTGCATCGAATATAAAGGGAAGCACTTACATCTCCCCGCTTTTCACCATATCGACGATGACAAGGACAAATCCGTGCCGACAAAGGGCAGGGAATATCCCAGTCTCGTCATACATCCCGTACGCTCGAGAGGTGATGTTTTCCCGCATATTCTGCCAGCGTTCGGCACACCCGTCGCCCTCGTCTGGCAACTCCGAGCCCGGAGTGAACTCCTTCATCAAATCATCGAGCCCTTCCTTCGCCCACTTGTTTACCTCCTCGCGCGACAGGTAGTAATCGCCCGACGCGACTCGATCATCTCCGTGCTCCCTCGACTTTCCTGGGGCTATGTTTCCATCCTCATCAATCTCCTCCCGCGTCTTGATTTCAAAACGAGACAGG